ATAATATATATATATATTTATGTATATATAGATACATTTTTTCTCTGNATATATTTATTTTTTGGTTATGTGAATATGAAACGATACACCAGTTAAATGCTCGTACCACAAATTTGACTCAGTCAACGTTGGTTAACCTGGATTGTCTGAAATTTTTGGAAAACGAAGCTACGGTAACCAGAAGCAAGAAATAAAAAAAAAGCAAACAAAAGAGATAGAAAAAGAAAGAAAAATGAAGACAGGGATGAATCGTATGGTAGCGATATGACAAAAAGAATAAAATATATATATATTCGTGAACGGAAAGATAAAAAAAGCAATCGTTGCAAACTACGAACTCGAGGGTATGTTTAACCATTCACGACGTGAAACGTGCTGTGCTCTTTCGTGAAATTGCGAGCTTCGTTTTGCCAGCGTGTATTCGCGGCTTGTTGGTTTCGTCGTAATTCTGCATTGCAGAGAAAAAATGTATCTATATATACATAAATATATATATATATTATATATATACACAATGTATATATATATATATATATATATATATATATATATGTGTATCCAACATGCACGTATATATGCGTCTACCAAATATAAATATATATATATACACATAAGTGTCTAGGGTAGAAAAGTAAAATGTGCGGCAAGTAAATGAAAAATAAAGCTCTTTTTCGCGGCTGGTTATATTCTCCGTAAAATCTCTAGAAGCGTAAAATCACTACTCCGTTGGGAATTCAACATAAAGAAGAGAAACTGTAAGAGTCATTGTTATCACTCGTGGGAGGAGAGTTCGTCGTCTTTTCCCTTCCTTAAAAACAGGAGTATCTTTATCTCATTCGATGAGAACAACGTTTGTCCATTTTCTAGATCAAATACAACATCTAATCGTTTAATTCTTAGCTCTATATTATTGGGAGGAGAGGAGGGGGAAGGGTGGGAGGGAATGATGATGATAATAATAAATCGAAAGTTCACTCTACGGGAAGAAGAACGAATGATGCAAAAGGATGATGCAAAAGGATGCTGATGCCAAGAAGATTCCGTTTTCTCATCCCAATCTTCCTCTCACTTTTGGATTTATGAATGCCGCACGTTGTAAAGGGACCGTAGCCATTTCCTGGTTGTAAAGGGAGATATATGAACCTTATGGGATACCGTACATTAAACCTTCTTCTTGCATACTCTTTGTATACCAACGCGAAATATCACGAAGATTCATCGATCGTTCTTTTCATCGATGAAATGCATAACGGTTATGAGTTAATTCGTTTGCGTTACTTTTTTATTCATCTTTTTTGTTTTTCATATTTTTAACCCAAAAGAAAAAAAAAAGATAATCCAGTTCTTTCGGTATATAAAATTTGTTAATTGAAATAATAACCCGTACGTAGCCACGCGTATACCAGAAACTCCAAATGTTTATAGAATAATTGCTTCGTGCACATACCGCAAACCGCAGTTATTATACTTTTCGAGAGAATGTTAGTACAATGTACTACAATGTGGCGCTTACAAGTTTTGAAATAAATTGTCAGACCTGTGACGTCATTGCGAAGCATGTTCTTCTCTTACTCGTATATGCGTCATCGTCTCGCTATGGTTAAAACTAAAATTGCTCGTAGGAAGTTGCAACGGCGTACAATGCACATTCTCGATTCGGGTATGTGACTTAAAATTAATGTAAAACGTTGGAAACACACTAGTGTGTTTCGTAAAATGTTTTTGGCCAACGTTAAACGAGATGACATAATAAACGTACCATTCCTTCGCGAATGTTACGAAGTAATGAGAATCACCGAAATTTAATATTAATGTATTAACGTTTATCAAAACTTTCGGATTATATTACATCTAAATATGTTTTTTCCTATTTTCTAATATAAACCGATATTTTAAAAATGATTTTCAATATAATCTAAGCTTTTGTAATCCATCCACCATTCGATCTATAAAAGAGCATCGTTTTGTCTACACAAAAGTAGAACAACACAAGTTTCTTGAAACGATACTGGGTTGACCTAAAAAAAAATAAATCTATTGTAATACGTATCTATTGTTTAACAAAAATATTATTTAATCGTGATAGAAATGAATCCTGCAAACAAACAAAAAATAGAAAGAAAAAGAGAAATGAAAAAAAAAAGTAAAAAAAGGTAAAGAAAATTTCTATTCGAAAAACGTAAGAAAATAATTTCAACGTTGGAAACTTAAGAACAAAATTGCCAGTAGAATTCAAATACCAATTGCTGCTATATATCCGTAATACCGTAAGTTTGAATTTGACTGTAAAGGAACTATGGTACTACACATCGAAGAGGATTTCGTATCAAGTCTTGGATATTTCCCTTAGAGCAATCACTAAAGAAAGACCGAACTTTGGCACTATTCCTGAATGAGCCGATGAAACAGATGCAATTTCGCGCGTGCGAGAAGGAATCTTGGCAGAGAATGTGCCGAAGTAGGAAAGAGGAAGGAAGATAAAGACCAAAGTGAAAGACAAGAAAGAGAAAAGAGAAGAGAAGAGAAGAGAAGGGTGGATGAGTACGGGGTATAGGGTGGAAAAAAAGGTAGAAAAGGTGCCGACCCAGTTCGAACAGTTTCTATACGTTATCTGCGGCTGTCGCTTCGTTCGATTCCGTACGGAAGACCCGGCTTTAGTAACAGCTTGCCAACTTACTTATTCCTACACTAGTCCGTGTTCTACTATATACATAAATATATTATACATTATTTTAATTCACGTGTATACTGAGCGAGTCAATAATTATCACAATCTGAAAGTAACGTAGTTAACTATCATCCATTACTATTACATTTACACATATAAAATATTCTATCACAAAATTACCAATTAATAAGTTATTGTTTAGCAAATTCCAAATGTTTTTTTTTTCTTTTTTTTTTTTACAATCAAACCATAACTGTTGTATTATTACGGACAATGTGTGTTAGAAAAAAAAAAACAAACAACACTTTTCCAAAGCTATTCGATGTTATTTTTTGTGTTTTTCTGTTTTTTTTTTGGTTTCTTTAATAACGCGAGAATAATCGATTAAACGATAAAATATACAAAAAGAAAAAAAAGAAAAAGATCCTCTCGTTGAACAAATAACGAGCTTTTAGCGGTATTATTCATTTGAACAGGACAACGAGCAATTGCATACGCGATTAGTGCCAATCAAGCAATGACTTCGTGTTCCGAATTCACGATCGAATTAATACAAGAAATCAATAGGCACCGCAAACCGATGCGATTGAGGATGCATTTGAGAACGAGACCAGAAATACCGGTAAACGTTGATTTCGATAAACATTAAAACGATAAAGAACTTTTCTCTAAGAACTTTCTATCATCTGTTCCTGTTCTAACATTAATAAAGTCGAGAATATACTATTATATTGCATTTCATTGAACGTTATTCATTATCAACAGAAATAAATTTATTAGTTTTATTCAAGTTAAATATAAACGCGTACGATGATAACTAATGAAATGTTAATTGACTGAAAATAACGAAATGTTGCTTTTAAAGTTATATTCAAATTAATAGAACGATATATTCTATCTGTTACATACAACCGATAGTATATTAAATTGTTGAAACTGAAAACACTTTTGGAACATAGATATTTACGTATCTACGAGTGAACACGTAACATAATGGATAATTAATAGAAACTAACAATCACGCGGTATCGGTAAATTACAATTTTCTCATTTCGACGAGAATAAATTGATTCCTATTTTGAGCGATATTACGAATAGCGGGAATAAAATCTCGAGTAATTTAGAAATGGGTCGTACGCGATTTCGATGATGAAAAAAAAAGAGAAAGAAAGTAGAAGAAAAAATAAACAAAGGGAAAAAAGTAAGAAGAAAATTTCTACGTTCTAGATGTTAGATTTGGACAAGCTGGAAATGCGTTTGGGAGTTTCGTTATTCCCAGAAGTAAAAATGAAGAAAAAAAATAATACATATACATATATACATTTATGTATAGATCTATATACATGTTTAAAAGAACCGAAACTCGGAAATCAGGCCGCGGTAGAGACAGAAGTTGATGGGCAACCCCGTCTTCTACCCCGTCTTCTTCTTCTACGCCCTTTAAATCTCAGTAGGGTTGCGCTCGAGGATAACGACGAGTCTCGGCTTAAGTCGTCGCTCGAGAAAACACAGCGATGCACTTAAATTAAGAACACAAGGTTTCAACTCTCTCTCTCTCTCTCTCTCTCTCTCTCTTGCATGCGCGTTTGCAACTGAAAAATAGTCGAGAAAGAGAATACAATAGTTTCCTAAGTATTTTTCTTTTGTTTTTGTCATTTTTTTGTCTCCTCCCTCAAACCCCCTTGTCCCAACCCCAATCTTCTCGAATTATTTCATTCGTTCGTACGAGTTCATCTTTTTCCTTGACTCGCGTTATGGAGAGAGAGAATTTATTTGATTTATTAGAAATTAATTTGATGTCTCTTATATATGTTAAATTTGTCTTATAAGAAGAGAACCGAATTCATTTCTACACCTAATAACATCAAATACAAGAGTTTCATTTCGTTGCATTAAAATTAATTGCAACGAACTGGAACAAATTTTAAACGTAATTTTCCTTGCGATCGTTTTATAAAAAACGAATTTAAATTTATTAATAATACCAGAATTATCGTAAAAAATGATTGGATTTATCGAATCGAACGATACACGTTTATACTTATTATTTTTTCTTTTTCAGATCAGATCAGATCTCGTAATTGTATTGGCGAGCTCGTGATAAAATTTCATTGTTATTATTCGAGCGATACATTCTTTAAGATATCAAATCAAATTGTATACAACACAGTTAATTAGTAATAATTTAAGAATAATTTAAGAATAATTTTCAATGAATTTTATGAAACACGGGTTATATCAAAAAAAAAAAAAAAAAAAAAGAAAAAGAACAAAAAATTACAATTAACGAATCGATGATGAGATATAAAAAAGAAAAAAAAAATATACTAACCGCGATCATGATGATTAATGCGTGTTTCTTTTTTCAAGAGCCTCTTCTTCCTCTCTTCAAGGGAGGGGGTTGTCGCGTATATATGTATATATATAATATATATATATATACACGTATCCCGATCCTCGGAACAATTCAGCAGTTTTCTCTATCAAAGTTGCGCCTCTAAAGCACCTGCTGCAGCGACTTTTTCTCGTAAGCGAACATTCTCCGCTTTTCTCCTTTGCTCTTGTGCCTTTTTCTTCTTCTTCTCGTTGAACGATCGCGAACCGGTCCCCGGGACGCGGAGGGGACACGGACGAAGTGTCAAACTTCTTCCTCCTCCTCCACCACCACCTCCACCTCCACCTCCGCCACCACCTCCTCCACCTCCTCCTCCTTCTCTCTTCCAACGATCTCCCTCTCTCTCTCTCTCTCTCTCTCTTTCTCTAAGAATAATTAAACGTATCTAAAATAATCAACAATAAATATATATATATATATATATATATATATATTTTTTATATATTAACACACATATACAAAAATGATTTTTATTGGTTTTTATATCGGATTAAAAACTAAATAAATAAAACAAAAAACTAACGGCTAAATGTTTTGCCTGTGGAATATTTGTTTTCTTTTGTCTTTTTTTTTTGCTTTTTAGACAAATATAAGGTAGCCGTCGTTCCTCCGAGTGTTACGATAAAAAAAAATTGATAAAAGAGAGATAGAGAGACAGGGAGAGATAAGTGGTTGATAAAAAGAGAAATGGATAACGAGAGATGGACTATGAAGGGTTAGGTGAATCCGTTTGAGTAAAAGCTCCGCTTCGCTTGGAGCGCAGTGAAGAACTGAGCGAAGTGCCGGCCGGCCGAGCAGCCAGGTGGGCTTTTCCAAGCGGCTTAACCAATCGCGACTTCTCTCTCCCTCCCTCACCCTCTCTCTACCCCTCGCGATATTCGCTTCTCTACCTCTACCTCTCTCTCTCTCCCTCTCTCTCTCTCTCTCTCTCTCTCTCTTTCTGATCCTTTCTCTTGCTTCCTCTTTCACCTCTATCTACAATCCACCTCCACCACCTTCACCACCACCACCACCACCATCACCATCACCACCATCACCATCTTCACCACCTCCTCGTTCCTCGCCTCGTCGATTCGGATTCCACGAGAATTACACTGCATCCCCCGTTTTTGTGGTACTACGAACACTTTGAACACTTTCCAACCCCTCTTCTTATTCCTTTTCATCTTTTCTAAGCTTTTCCGCACCTCGACGAACAAGCATTATTTTATTTCTTCCATTTTCTTTTCCTTTCTTCCTTTCTTTTTATTACTGTTCCTCTTCGAGTTTCTCTCTCTCTCTCTCTCTCTCTCTCTCTCTTCTCTTTCTCTCGATCTCCGATCGTTTTCTCGAATCGAAGAGAAAGTTACCTCGATTTCGAATCGAGAGAAAAAAGCAACCCCTTTGATTTTGCTCCAACATGCCCTATCGAAGATATGTATGTTTCTACCTTTAAATGATCTTTCATTTTCCTTATTATCGAACGATTATCGATTTGAATGAATTAAATTCATGACGAAATTCTCTCTTCTCTCTTTCTCTCTTACCTTTTTTAACAACTATGTGTTAAATTATTTCTCAATTTCCTAATAAATATTCTTTTTATCTTTAGTACGCGCGTGACCAATACTTATTATCATTTCAAAATGATTCTGTAAAGATACGGCTGATGATCGTGTCGAAGACTTCATTATAAAAATGAATAGAAAAAAATGTCAAAGATCGTCGTTAAAAATTATTCTTCTTTCGTGGTTTTTATTTTTTTATTCTTTTTTTATTTTTTATGTATGTTCGGTGATCTTCTACCTGAGAAATACAAAGTGAGAAAAAATGTAAATATATTCGAACGAGTCAACAAGACCGCCGCCTCTGTCCATCTGTCTGTCTGTCTGCCTGTCTGTCTGTCTATTTATCTTCGAAATTTTTGGCGCGTTTAAGCGTAAACATTTTCGAGATATTTCGAAGTTACACGCACGTCCTGAATTTTATTTAACGCGTTTTTTATTTTTCTTTGTTTTTCTTTTTTTTTTTTTTTCTTTTACCTACCAGTTTCTCAATTATTATATTTTTCTTCAACCGTATCATTCTATTCTTCTCGTTCTGCTTTCTTTTTCTCTGATTCGTTTTTATAAATGAAAAATATCTACCTAGTAAAAGCGTCATTTTATCTTCGTGATAACAGAAAAAGAAAGAGAGAGAGAAAGAGAGAAGAATATCAATTTAATTTGTCCGGTATTACGAACGAAATTAAAAAAAGATTACGAAAAGAGAGCAGAGACATTCGTATGAAATTGCGTTACCCCCTTCTTTATTATTATTATTTGTCCTCGCAAACTCGAATACAATTTTCATCGTTTCTTTACTCGTATCTCGCAAATACGATTTACATTTTATACCTTTTTCTTAAGGGGTCATTTTTCTCTACCACACCCGACGACGAGGAACAAAAAACAAAATCTGATGAGTTTTCATTCGAAAAGAAATTGGTACTTTTTTTTTTTTTAAAGGTAAATAAACCAAATTGACAAATACTACATTTGAACTGTGTAATGCGCGAGACTAATATACGAAGGTTCATCTTATTTCCTGTTTAAAAAAGACAAGATTGTTTTAAGGGAAATTCATTAGAATGACCTATCGAATTTCATTCGGCAATTTTTCTCATTGTAAAACAATATGAAAATAAAATGAAATATCATAAAATGAAAAGGAAGTAGAAGGGAAATGAAAGAATGATAACTAGGAATAAAACAAAGCTTAGAATGATATTTACGTCTACTACTACTACTACTACGTGTAGACGCCAAGTTGGTGGCATCGAACGAGACGTGATCGAGGCCTCACTTTCAAAGTTGCCTGCAGTACTCGGTCAGTCAGTTGGATTATGGCTTGGTCGCTTTCCTAACGACGGACGGGGCCATGCTTTTACCAACGAGACGATGCTTTTACACGCGCGTGACGTGCCGTTTTCATTGACGTATTACAGGTATACACGATAAGTCAAAGAGAAATAAAGAAAACGGGAATGAGGAGGTAGTACCTTTGCTCTGCTTTGCTAGCGATATAGAAACGATCGATATCAATGGGAAAAGCTACGTTCCTTCCTTCGAAAAGGGATAACTTATTGAGAAAGGTACCAGGGAAACCCAAACTTTACCTTCTCTAGAAACTTCAATCATTCGGCTCACCGATCCAGACATATTTCACTGTCATTTACTTTATATCCTCTTTCAACTACTCACCTCAACCCCCTTTTAACGACCCTCGAGTTCTTCTAATTTTCTAAAGAGATCCCGCGAGATTATTCAACCCCTTGCCCCCTTCAACCTCTCCCCCTTACACCGATCGATCTTACATTAAATACGTACGTACGTACTCGAATGAAATTCAACTCACTCTTGATTTCCTTTCGAAAATGATTTTATCGTTAATCATATCTTTAAAAAGGAAATTAAAAATCTTAACGAAATATTCAAATATTATTTAATATCTCGCGCAAGTGAGAGAGAGAGAGAGAGAGAGAGAGAGAGAGAGAGAGAAAGAGAGGGAGATATTAACAAACGTTAAAGCTTAACGCGATCGCGAAAGAGAAAATAAAAAAATCAACGTTAATCATCTTCTTCTGCGAGTTTAAACGGAAGTTGGGTATACCTCGAAACGTGCCGAGGTTGCGTGCCGATTTTACTTTCGTCAGGTGGTATTATTGCGGTGGCAACGGCGGCATCGTTACCCGATCGGATTCCATCCTCGTGCCTTAACAAATATTCCTCCTGTCTACGATGTACATATTACACCAGTATCAACTACCTATCACTTATTCTTATCAAGGAACCCTCAAATTCCTAAATTTATCGAATTGGCACAATTATTCGAAATATATTATACTAAACTTATTCGAATATTATTTATATTTCATTTAAACGAAACTAAATCCTTCTTTATATAATTACTCTCGTAGTTGTGTCTCTTGTCTGCATAGAAAGAAAATAAAAAAAAGACGCAGAAATATCGATAAACGACGAATTAAAGTATGCGAATCACGTCCGTGGTGGGTCATCGAACTTCTCTAAGTCGTTGACATTTTTTTAACCAACAGACTCGTAAAAATCTTTCTCGTGCATTATCGTATACCAGTATACAGTGATTCGTGCTCTCTTATTTTTCGTTCATTTCAACTTTCCAACCAAAGCCGCTTCCCAAAGCGATGTATATCACGCGTTCAAAGGGACATCAAGGATCGGTATGCTTTGAACGAAAGAACTCGTGATGAGAGAATCAAGGGTAGAAAAGTAAAGAGAAAAGAGAAGAAGGGGGAATGGGAGAGGGGGAGGAGGTAAAGAGAATCGATCTCGACCGCAAATCTCACGCGAGCCGCATTGAGGAACCAACGTCGAATCAATTTCTAAGAGTTGAAAGAGAGGAATACGATTTACCTATCGGTGCCGGCACCGATCTTACACGAAGGAAAATCTAAAACACTTCCTGGAGAATTCCTGGCACTCCAAGTGGGTCGTATATCGGAAGAAACGAAAGTTCAAATACGAGTCTCGTACGTGTTACGAATCGATTGTTATCATCAACATTGACGATTGTCCCATGGAGAAACGAAAGGAAAGTTTTCAATCCATTTCAATTAATTGTCGATGAATTCATGATGAATCCGATGATTAACGCCAAATTTTCTATCCATATAATGTGACGTTGAAAATAATTCAATTTAATTAATATTGTAGAAAGAGAGAGAGAGAGAGAGAAAAAAAAATGAAATAATAAAATAAAACAAAACAAAAAAAATAAATAAAATTGCCAGGTGAATTATGATAGATCAATTCGCATGGAAATAAAGTTGAATTCATTTTTCATAAATCTCGAATGGGAACGAGCACGTGGCCGACTTTGACAGTTGTCGAGTCAGTATTCTTTTCAATTCCGACTAGTAAACATCGCAGCTCTCTCTCTTTCCTTCTATATGCATTTAGTACTTAAATTATTTATTATTATTATTAATATTATTATTATATTATTATTATTATTTGATATTTATTTAATACAATATTGTATTTTTGCTAAAAAATATTACTATTTAAAGTACCTTGAATGTAGAGTAACTTCTATTGGCCAATGATGTAAGTAATGTGCATCTAGAAATCTTCCATGCGTTCAGACCATTGAAACGTATCAGCAGATATGTAAATTAAAATAATTTATACAGAGAGAGAGAGAGAGAGAGAAAGAGAGAGAGAGAGAGAGATAATAATTTATGGTACGTGCCTGCATGTAATTATGAAATATATAGTTATTAT